GGGCAGAGGCGGTGCTGAGGGCCAGGGTTTGGGGGTGGGATGGCAGGGGTAGGGGAACGCTTGGGCTGGGGGAGCTTAAAGGGCTTTGCCAACCCAAACCATTCTATTCTATGATTCTTTACTCGTAAGGTGTAACTGTACTACCTGATGTCTGTGCTTCTGATTAGTTTATTTCTTCGATTAATTTGCTGTCGTACTCATAGGCCTCTAGTGGAAAAAGTCTTGTTTTCCCACACAAGAACCAGAGCTGCTCATCCCACTCCCATATTGAATCAACTTCTTGATACATTTTGTCAACAATAAAAACATTCTAAGAATAATTTGTTGTGACCATAAAAAAAAAAAAAATAAAAAAAAATCCCCAAACCACTTAAAGTTGCTCCTGAAAGAGCCAAAACAAACCTTCCAGGACTTGTTGCGCTACTGTACTCCTCTGCCACAGAAGTGTTGAAAGAGAGATCTGATTGCAATATTTGCTTTGCTTCCTCATGTGGCTTTTCAAATACCTTCCGTGGTGCAAGTGGAACCCAGCAATGCGTGGAAATCCTGGTGTTTGTGATTAACTGAAAATCAGGCTTGGATTTGCAGTTGTCTCTTGGGAAGCTGATGAGCACAAGCTTTTCCTGCATGAAGCCTCTGCTTTGGAAATTCTCCTTAGCATCCAAATCTATAAAATTGTTTGGTGTGTCTGTAAATTAGTTCCACGCTAAAGGTCACTGCACCATGGTTACAGTTTCCCACTCTACGAGTGCTTAAGAAATGCCACCTTATGTATGAAGCCTGAAGGTAGGTTAGAAAAGCCGTGCAACTATTAACACCCCACACAACATGCTTCCCTGTAGCTGAAGCCCACATTGTAAAGTTAAAAATTCATACAAAGCCTCCGCGTCTGGATCTGAATATGAAAAAAAAAAAAAAATCCTCTTGGCCTTGCTTCAGTCTGTTCCCCTCTTTGGGAAGCTGGCCCTGCTAGGCAGCAGAGGAGCATTTGGCCCCAGCACCAGGGGTTTGCCCAAGAAGCTGCTGATCCCCCCCGTCTGAGGGGGGCCTTGGTGTGAGGGGCTGGGGCTTGGGGTGTTGGGGAAGCAGGCAGGGGACCCCAGGGGTAGACAGAGCGTGGGCTTGAGACCAAGCTATGGCAGGTCTTGGCCAAAGCCTTGTCACAAGTTCTTGCACACCTTGATCAACACCCAGATGAAATGCTTTGGAAGTTATTGGAGTTCAGTTTTTCACTTTCTTCCCCAGTGTTTTGGTGTTCCCTCCCCCCCACCCCCTCCACTTTGGGGAGAGCAGTGCTGGTGTGGTATGCCCTCCAGAGTCAGCTTTCCTGACAAAGGGGGAACGCCTGATGCTTTGTGAGATGATTTGGGATGATGCTTCTTCCCCTGCTGAGTCTGGCAGGGTACGATCCTCATCCTTGCTGCCTGTGATGGGAGACCTTATTGCTCCCTAAAACCTCCTGACATTTTCTCCTTTGAGGCTAACCGTGCGGTAGCATTAGTTTTGATGGTCGAGTCCCCAGCCCTGGGGGGATTTAACAGCCGGGCAGAGGCGGTGCTGAGGGCCAGGGTTTGGGGGTCGGATGGCAGGGGTAGGGGAACGGCTGGGCTGGGGGAGCTTCAAGGGCTTTGCCAACCCAAATGATTCTATGATCCTATCACCCTGTCCAGAGGTCTGGTGTGGATCCCTGACCTGCTCCGACCAGGCTGTGGGTTGTGGTGTGGTCCCGCAGCGAGGCAGATGCTCCCTCTGCCAGCTGTCCTGATGTTCCCGGGTATTCATAGCCACATCTCCCCGAGCCTTTCAATCTGTCCCAGACCCACAGGGCTCCTCAACCCCTCAGCAGACATGTTTTAGGTGCATGATCATAGTTCACAGGATCACTTTGGTTGGAAAAGACCTTTGAGATCATGGAGTCCAACCATTAGCCTAACCCTGCCATCCCACCACTAAACCCTGTCCCTCAGCACCTCATCTCTCCTTCTTTTAAATACCTCCAGGGATGGGGACTCCACCACCTCCCTGGGCAGCCC